TAAAGATTTTAAAACAGTTCCTCGTGCTTTTTTGTGTGTGCACCTGTTTCGTCCTATTCCAATTTTTTTCATCCTTGCACATTTTATAAGCCAGCGGAGCCAGGATGTGACTCATGCATCATTACAGACAATTTAGAAAAAAAAATCAATTCTGTTTTTCCGGCACTTGCAGCGGGAAAAAGTGAGCGATTGATTGTGTCAGTTTGGACATTTCTGATTACCATCTCCTCTCTCTACTTCTGCCTGTGTGAGCACACGCTGCCAAATCGTTGATGGGCAGCGTATCCAGCAGCAGGTGACGGAGGGTGGGCGGTTGGTTATTGTGGAGCCAGCCTCGTAGTGTCCTTGATTTTCCATTGTATTGACATCACCGTCGTCTTATTTCGCTGCTGCCAAAACTCGCAGCTCATATCGACTCTGGCTTATTACACTTCATCTTTACCAGACAGACAACAGAATCAACACAGAGCTGCTACCGGGAGATGAAAGCTCCTGTTTCATTACATTAGGTAACCAAGATTAATGCTTCCACAGTAATTTCCAGTGTGCCCCACGTGGTAGGCCAAACGTTCTCTGATTGGTGGATTTTACTTTGAAAGATGAGAAGTAAGGAAGGATGCTAGTAGTGTTCTGCAAGAGTATGTTTTCTCAGAAAGAAAGACTTTGCCATGACTGTGTCTGACCCTCATGTCCACCACTATAACAAGGACGAGGTTCCCAGCCAACATGTCTGAGTCCAAATCTACTCTAGCGTCAGGAGCTGATCAAACTGAAGTCTTGACTGAATTGTCTTTCATTTTCAAGTGACAAAATAATGATGTGTCCTTTATCAAATACACTTTGTCGTCTTCTCCCATTGCAGGATATTTGGATCCTGCAGTCTGTGCCTGGACGAGACCGTGCTGGAGCAGTTTTTCTACTTTTTGTATTTTTGCTTGGCTCAGTCACGTCACGGTGACTCCTACTGTAGTTGTTCCTTTCTAACCTAATGACAGCTTTTTTGTGAAAATGATGATCATGACCATCTAATGAAGAATATTGACCAGATTCAGGTATTTATTATGTATGTTCAAATTGTACTCCGTGTTAGTACACAGATCAAAACAGACCATTTTTACTACTTTATTTTCCCGCATCCTTAGTTTGTGGCTGCATGCGGTTGTACTAATAAATACAGTAAATTACATGATGTTGTTGAAGAAAATAGTTTTCCTTTTCAAATATCATGACAGAATCTTAGATCAAACAGTGGTCGGGCCTCGGGGAAATAAAATCCATTATTGCGATGTTAGCCTTCCGTATCTACTGAGCCACGATGTCTGTGTGTAATAGCTCTGTGAAGAAGTGCACTGTGGCGTCCAAAAGGACACAGTCCTGTCTTTAATAAAGTCGCTCTGCCTTATTTGGTGATGATTTCAGAGGTCAGGATACACACTGGTCAATAAAATCATGTGTGTATTAAAGACACCTGAGGCCTCACAGCATCCATGTAGTCATACAGGCCGAGCTGAAGCCGACACGCTGCCCAGGACCTCGGCCATCTGTTGTTAAACTCTGCTGCCCTCAGCTATGTCTTACAGGAACTCAGCTTCCACTATCTCTAAAGTAAGAAAAACCTATCTCTTCTGCACTCCTCCCAGGTCAGACAAAGACAAAGACAATGACCCCTGATACAAGAGTTGAACTGAGAAACCACAATTTTCCATTAAACTCTGGTAAATGATGAATGACTGACTGGTGTTTCTGCCAGAGACTGCTTCCTGTCTCTTTGGGCTCTGTTTTCAATAAGCACAGAGATGTTATAAAAAAGAAAGAAGAAGAAGATGCTTTTATTAGACTGCATTTATCTTAACAGAGTGGTTCCTAGACCTGATCTGCAGCGCCCCATTTTTGTTTAGTCCTACAATTGCTACTTCTGCTTCAAACTACTACACTGTACTTCCTTAAAAAATGTAATTCCTCATTTAAAATGAATTAATTTCAACTACTGTGCCCCTCCCCCTCTGTCAATGTGACCCAAAGGAGGACCCACCCCACAAATTGGGAACCACTGCTGTAGTATAATACACATTTTTAGCAAACATTAGGATGAAAAGACAACACCCTAAAACACACTCTGTCCTTGACACAGTTAGACAACTGCCACCTTATGCACCCAATCCCACCTGTGGACCGAGTCACTCTCTTTTCTTTACCTGCCCATTTGCCTGAAGCTGCTGGGTCATCGGCCACCCACATCTTGTGCTCCGTATCTAAAAAAAAAAGCCATCAAATGAGGAGACGAGGACAGAAATAGATGTGGCACAAACATCCCTTGGTTCCTCACTGTGGACTGTTTTGACTAATGAGTGTGCCAGAATTGCAGAGGGGTCAATTCCCAAAGAGCGCAGAGGCTAACGTCAGTGATCCCCTTCCCCTTGCCCCATTTTCTGTCTTTCAGGTATACTGTAAATTGTAATGTGCATATATTAGCTCATCCTGAGCTAGATTTTTGTGTCACAGTGTCCTCTGTATTAGAGATGGCTTAATTTGCTGTCAGGTGCTTTTTTTCCCCACCATTTAAAATGCAATGTTTCATCCTAATTACCACATCTGGTGCCTTTGAGCCTAACCCTTAACCTCCAACTACTCCTCCAGAGCTGCTCAGTGGTACACTGAAGGCACTGATGGCCATGTTCTGGACTTTGTTTCTAGATATTAATCTATGTTATTGTACAAAGATCCACCTTTAAAAAAATGTAAATTTAACATCCCAGTCATGTGAAAGTTATAATTAAGACAGTAGAAAACCACAGTGGGATGTTTGGCCTGTGGAGGATTTAGCTTGTCGCTAACGCTACTTATAGATCATTTATATTGAGGGCTGCAGGTAAGTGCTAACAATAATTTGCTTAAAAACAGAAGGTGTGTCTCAAAATGCATATATATGTTTTTACAAACCACTGAATTTTAAGTCACCTCCGGATCATTAACATTGCCTACAAGAAAATCCTTTACAAACCACTGAATTTTAAGTCACCTTCAGATCCTTAACATTGCCTACTGTCCCTGCCCCGAAAAGTAGACCACGGCTACCCAGAGACCAGAGGTGTGTCTCTCACTCTTCAAGTCTCTCCCATTTCAAGAAAATCCCGTTGTATCAATTCAGGTCAAACCACCTTCTCAGTGGCTAAGTTCTGCTTTAGCACCGTGTATCTCCTGTGTACTTCTTAACCCACCACACGTGCTAACATTGTAATTGTTGTTTTGCGTTGTATCAATTCAGGTCAAACCACCTTCTCAGTGGCTAAGTTCTGCTTTAGCACCGTGTATCTCCTGTGTACTTCTTAACCCACCACATGTGCTAACATTGTAATTGTTGTTTTTTTTTTTAAATGTTTCACTGATATCATCCCATTTGTTATTTTGTACTGAAACATACAATTTTAAGCTTTCAATCATAAATTAAATGTAATATAATTTCCATTAAAAAGTGTTAGTGAATTGATTGCACACACATCCCAGGTCTAAATTGTTCTGTCCGCTTTCAATCCAAGATGGCCGCCATATCAATCGTTTTACTGCCACCTACCGTCCAAGGAGATTAGCTAGTCATTTAAAGTCAGGCATTTCAAGGCAGAAATATGACAGATCAAGCGATGAGTTGGCAATAATCTCTAACCCAAGGAATTCACCGTACGGATGAAATGGCATTAGGTTCATACAGTAACAGTTGGTGGATGAATGTGAACTGGAACTCAGGCTGATGGCTTGTCTGAAAGATGTGCCTAAAGCTTTTAAATGACAATAGGGTTTTAACTGTGAATAAATTAGCATAGCATCTCACCCACCTACAGTGCTTTAGAAATTCCAGTTGGGAATTACTGTGAAATTTCACCCAAGAATGGCACAACGCCCAAACGTTCACACTTCAGCTGACGACTCTCTTATACAAAAAGGATCACTACCAGAATTAGTCGTCATGAGGGTGTAGGTGATTCTTGATTTCTATTTCATGAGGACAACTTTTTAATCGGATACTGATCGAATGGTTCCTGTTTCCAGAGTGCGGTCAGAGCCAAATCCAGACTTTTGGCTGGTTGCCCCAATTCCTCACACAGAAGTGCCAAAATTTCCCCCCAGCAGTGAGCATCACTCTGGATAAGTGTGGACACACAGAGACAGAGAACATGTCTCATGTCCTGAGAAGAGACAGCTGTAAAACATGCAACAGTCACCACCAAAGAAAGATCAAAGGTCAGACTAGTCTGTAGCTGGTATTGACTGATGGTGAAGGGTACTACAGAAGGGTATTGTTGCTCTCAGTAGTCCCAAGTTTTATTGACATCCCAAGAAACCTTTACGATAACAGAAGACTCAAAGACCACTAAATTAACTTCACACTGGCTGGAATATCAGGCTCAACAACCAACAGGGAATGATCAAGAGTCAAGATAAAACAGCATTATATCCTCTACACGCAACATTTGTTTGTAGTGATGCCTTAAAGGGAGCAAAATGTGTAAAACATCACTGATAGAGATCACATACAGCCAGAGATGAAAGACCCTGTCGTTGCAGAATTGGTATTAACCTGTCACTGCAAAAATAACTGGGGTCCGACTTCACCAATACATAATTTGGATGTTATTAAACTCATGTACCACAAACGGCAATTTTCTTGTGATTGTATTTACTTCATACACCAACCGCAGAACTAGTCACCATGGGATTGTTTATTGGTCATGACTGCCACCTGGTGGTGAATTATGAGCACTGGCGGGGCACACGTCACCAATATAGTATTTATTAAAGTACCTGGGTTATGTACACCTTTACTTACAACCATGGGATTTAATCTGATTGTTTGGATCAATAAACCCTCTACAGACACCAGACTGCACGGGAAGTGTGTATTTGTATAGGTAGTGCTACAATGTCAACATTGTGACCTAATAGAATAGTGGCCACCATATAACATTGTCCTGAAAATTAAGTATATAGAAACCAAAAACAGTGAATTGATCAGTTAAAGATTTTAATGAACACATTACGCATATAAGTACTATTGAAAAGGCATAACACCAAAATTATAAAAAAAAAAAGTACATGATCAAAACCAAACTCAAGTCAACATACACACAATAGCTTAACAGTGAACATTTAAGGCGTCACCTCATAGCAGTCACATGGTGAGTGACATCATTGGTGTCCAGCTCCTCCCACAGCCAAGTCACATGTCCTGGTCAGGGAGAACCTGCTGGGAACAGCTCAGACAACAGTAACTGAGGGAAGCACTCTCCATTCGTCATGTCACATTTTTACCACTAATCAGTGATAATGTAATGTAACAGATATACCTGTCCCGTTTACCTGGATTTCACAATCCGCGACTGGAATCAGAGACATGGTGACGTGTCGTTGGCTTCCAAGGACACGGCTCAGGAGCGCCCCCTACAGGACGGGCAGCGTCCAGTGCGCCGCTGTGAGAAATAGAGGCCCAACAATGAATCATGCCCATACACAAAAAACAGCTATAACATGATTTGAACACCACATTTGGTATTTGAACCAATCACACCTTGTACTTTTGTCAGTATGGCGAAACGTGTCGGATCAGTTTCACAGAGTCATGGCGACCAGCTCATTTCCGGTTCATGCATACAGGCCGAACATTTCTTCAAAGTTCCTCTGTTGGAAGTCAAGACAATTTTCATAGCAAGTCGAGTCCAACTCAGCGTACACCCTGGTGGGTGACATTGATTCACAATACAAGTGGTCATAGGTTTCACTGAAACCTGAAAATGACACGTTGTGGCTCGTCTTCAAGTCTTCGTACACACCATTCATCAGGTACTGCGTCGTGTTCTGCGGCGCCATTGCTCCGGACGGTAGACACTCTTCAAACACCGTCTCCTCCGTGTTCCGTCTCACATCCACGTCTCGCGCCATGGTTTTTCTGAGCTTTGCGGCCCGTATCCTCTTCTGCTGCCGCTGGAAGTATTTTCCAATGGTCGGCGTCGAATAGGGTTTTACGGCCTCCTTGGTTGTAGACATATGGACGAACTTCCATTTCGGTCTCATTCCAGCAGACTTGGCGGCCTTTCGCAGCGGGCACTCAGAGTTTAAGAGTTTAGAAGAGAATTCCATTTTTTCTAAGCACATGTCCGAGCTACAAAAAATATGGATGAGAAAAATCCGACAGTGAGCAAATTATTTGCTAAATTATTTCTGGAAAAGAATACGAGACAATCTCTCCTTCCCGTCTAATAAATTAAAACGATTCAAAATTAGAGAAAAAAAAGTACTTCAAAATCTAAGTACGCACTAACACGCAGCTAACACACATCTACCACTCAGTATCCCCTGGTGAAGTAAGTTCAAACGTTGTCGTTACGTTCTAATTTATGAGCCACGAAGTACTACCCACAATGCTTTGTGGCCGGAAATAGGAGCATTGCAGTGACGCGCTCTGCTGCCGCTTAACGGCGCGGAGTTAACATGCTACCAATTTACAGTTTATTTGAAGTGTCATTTTAAAATGACAGGATCAAAGTAAAAATGGCTAAAACGTGTGTTTAAGGTCCAAAGTCTATCTGACAGAACAGAGTAGTATTAGGTGGTGAAAAGTATCGCGGGGGAAATATTCTCTCGTGTACCACTGGGTGGCACAATTCAACATCTTATATGCAACGATTTTAATCTTATTTACCACCAGGTGGCCCTTCAAATCAGCGACACGGCTCACTGACAAAACCCTAATCTGTTTTAACTACATTCACCTTAGGGTTTTTAAACAAGTGATTTCCTTAGTCATACTGTGTTTCTGTCTACTTCAACAAACATGTCGTCCCCAAATGCATTGATTTTAGGCAGGTAATAACTAATCTGCAAATCTGTTAAAAAGTTTAAATTATTATTTATTTATTTTTGACAGATTTAGGTTTATAGGTTTATACTCAGTAATTCAGTTGTACCGTCACCATTATCTGTTTGAAGGCACATTGTTTCATTAGTTTCTCTGTGACCACAGGTTGATTCTCTTTTATCCTTGGTGTGTGTGTGTGTGTGTGTGTGTGAATGAAGCACACAGGAGTTGGGCACGGTTCAAGTTTTCTCCGCACTGCAGTGTCTGTGATAGGGGTGAGTGAGAGCAAGAAGCTGTGAGAGGGGGAGGGACAGAGAGAGAGAGAGAGGGAGAGAGAGAGAGACAGACAGAGAGAGAGAGAGGAGAATGACAAGGACTTAACCAAACACACACGCCCTTAAAACAAATAATGCACACAATCAACCAGCAGCAGTAGACATCAACAGTCCTGTGGAGAGTTGATTTCATAGCCTGCCTGATGGAGATGTTTCATGATCGTGATCATGTTCATCTGAGTCGACTCTAAGACCTAAGAGGAACTCTTCTACCCACAAATTCACTGTTAATGTTTTTCGTTTCCTGGAAACTTGTTATGCATATTTTTACTTCACATAACATCAAGCTTCATTTGTCCCAAGTGTTTATCTACACAAAGGTCGTCTTAATGTCATCATCAATAATTAACTGGATGTGTGATACTGATTCATTCAGGAAGAACGTCCTCGTGACAATGGGAAATTCATTTGCTACCAAAGTCCTTGATATTTATTCTGGCATGTGTACAGACCAGAAATCAGATGTTAAACTGCATCTGTGAATGGCCATGACAACGACACGAAGAGCTAGAAGGTTAACTTTTGCTAAAGCTAACTGTCAGTTGAAAGTGTTTATTTAACCATCCATAGCAAACACTACTTTCTACATCTTTGCCAAAAATATGACTTTGTCCATGAACCGGTGGTGTAACCAAATTACAAAACAGCTGCACAAGTCTGGTCGGTTCACCTGAGTGCAGTGTACGAAGGAGATTTCTTTCCTAACAAAATAATTAGTCAATTTATTATCCAAAGTCCATCTGCACTAATAGAACGTAAATTAAATTCCCAAACCACATGCGCACACATTAGAATGTCTGACGGATGTAATAATAATAATATATTTTATTTGGAAGCGCCTTTCTGAACACTGTACAGGGTATGCTGGATGTGTTGACAACAGTCAGTGACTCCCCTCATTCTAATGTGTACAAGTTATCCCTGTGTACCAGTGGATGAGGCTCAAGTACCACCAGTGGTACACGCACCACAGTTTGAGAACCACCATACTAGACAAAAGTTGACAACAAAAAAGGCTCCATCCACTTTGACAGAAGTAACAACATTAACACACTTCAAGTGGGTTTGACTGAGTGTGTGTGTGTGTGTGTACATGTGTGTTTCTATTCATCCCATTACATATTTTTATGGCCATGACAACCTCCCTCCCCTTTCCTATACGCCCACTGCCCACCTGCTGTACCAAATGCATGCTGGGATATCTCGGTTGAAGACAGACTGAACAGATGATCAGCTCAAAGATGGCCTTTGTCATGTGTGCCCCCGTCAGCAGGAGGCTGGAAATAATAAAGTCGTCTTTGGTTCCTGATTGGAGGGAAACAGGAAAACTGGTTCCTGTTGCTAAAGATGGACGCTGAGAGTTTCCCATGGTACATTCTGTTTCCGCAGTGGGCACGGACTCAAACGTGGTCGCTGAGTTCATCGCAGACCGAGCACTTTGCAGCTGAGACAAATGTGGTTGTCGCCTACTTGTCACCTCGCTGTGCTGTGACCCTGGCTCTAGTGGGAAGTGTCTTATGAGGGCTTAATATATCCTGGTACAGACCGGGTTGGCACACACAAGACCACAATCTCTCTCTCTCTCTTGTTTTTTCACTCCCTCATCACTCCCTTCCTCCCTCTCTATCTACCCCACCCCCCATCTGTCTCCCTCCCCCCATCCCTCTCCTCCCTTTTGTCACTGTCTCTCCCAAACACACACATGATTCTGTAGATTTTGGAGACTAAATAACAAATGGTTCTAGGGATTATTTTTAATCCAGAGCCACAATTATAAATCAGTGGAACTTGTGACATTCTTGGTGGTTCTTCATTTCTCTGACTGAAATGTAGTTAAAAATAGTTTACATTAACCTAAAACAACATATGGTTAAAAATGGAGACCAAGAACATCTACATATACAACAACAGAAATTAGCTTTAGCCAGTGGTGCTAGACATTAAGCTTAAATAAGGCACAAATTGTTATTGTTGTATTGTACAATTGGCTATAAATTCATCAAAAAGTAATAGTCAGTCAGTATGGATAGTAATCACAATGTCCCATAAGCATGAGTAGGAAATTAAGAAAACTAATTCAAGAAAAAAGAGGTACAAAATATTAAACTATCATTAGCTAAAAAAGAAGCAACCGCTGGTAAAACTTGGCCTAAATGGCAAAATTAGCCCAAAATTAAAAAAAAAAAAAATCAGTAAAGTATAGAAATTTAAAAAATGTAAAAGAAAATTGCCTAAAATTTAGATATTTGCATCAACATAATTTATAGATTAAATAGATTAAATATATAATTAACACAAAAACACAACAAATAAACACAGATGTATAGACATATTTTTATATATTTTTTATGTTGTTGTAGAGATGATCCGGCAGTTAAAAAAAAAAAAATCAAAATCAAACCAACCCATTTCACTTGTCCCTTTTTTTACCCTCACTATAGGATACAGTTCTCCAACATGTGACTGAAAAAACAAATGGTCACCCCCCTCCCCCTCCCCACCCCCTACACACAGACACACACACACATCATTCCATCCACAGATGACACGAGTTAGAAGGAGAGGAGGGGGAGAAGGAAGCAAATTAATTATGTACAAATGTGTGCTGTACCGTCACACGTGGACCTCCCCTCTCTCTCCCACCTACTCCTGCCATTTTTCTCCTCACTCTGCCTCCACATGCTCCATGGCGATGACTCACAGTCAGCCTGTGTGGGAGTCCTCAGATCCCTGTCTATCCCTGCAATCGCATTATCAACAATAGTAATTTAAACCAGGGGAGAACGGTGGGGGTGGGGGGCGGGGGGGTCGCTGCTGAGACTGTGTGGGGGGTGTAGCTGGTTATAAAGGAGCGTGAAGACGCTGTGAAGCATTAATCAGTGAAATCAGCCCGACCGCTCCACCACATCTGCTGAGATAAATACACAGGCCTATACTGGTACAAAAGGGACATTCAGATTATTATGGCGGTGCAGGTGGTTTCTACACAGTCCTGAGGTCAAAGCAGCAGAGAAGCACCATTCTCACTGATCCTCTCACTTTCATTAAGCCAGGACTGTCCAGACGTTCTCACTGATCCTCTCACTTTCATTAACTGTCTGTCCAGACAATTCTTCAAGGATGACCAGATTTGGTCATTTTATGTGATCAAGAGACAACAGCTCAGACTGTTTTTACAAATGTTTTTTTATCTAACTGCTGAGGAACCAACATCATATTTAAGTCCTAAAAATGATTTGTATTACTTATTTGAAGTGAGAGTACAAAAATGTAGAAATGACACAAAGAGCAAAAGAAGAAAAACTTTGGGGGGAAAAATCCTAAAAAATAAAAATAAAATAGCAAAGTTTTCCATAAAAACATAGATGAAACATTCTCAAATACAAATAAAAACAACAAGCTGCCCCCAAAACGACTGCAAAACACTGTAGGTCAGAGAGAAGCTAAATGCTAAATGCTAGCTAGGTTAAAGATATGAAGAAGTAGGCCCCGAAATACAGTAGTTACATGTAGGTGTTGATCATTGTAAAGCTAGCCTAAACCTAATAAAATATACTCTAAGTTAGTTGTATCTAGTAGCCAACAGTTAGCCAAAAGAAGCATCAAATTCAGCAGAAAATGCTAAATGGCTAAATGTGGCTTTTTAGCTGCAAATCTCCATGACAACCACAGTTAACCGGACCTTTAGTGACAACAGAAACAGTGACTTGGCTCTGACTGGTTTCCACAGATACACGATACATCAGAGAATGAGTTTGAGTTGTATGTGCTCAGTTATTTACCGCAGACTTAGAAGAAGGGTATTAAAACCCCACAACTCTGTCTTTTTTTTTGGCGGTGGGGGAGGAGAGAGGGGGGGGTCATCCAGCCCGGCTCTAATGGCTCCCCCCATGACCTTAGAGTGCTTCACATTGATTAACCAATAAACATCGCAGTCAAATGGCCAGGTCAGCTGCTACATCTATCATCCTTGTTACAGTCACTAATGCTTTTAACTGCATTGATTCTGCCTTCGGTCTGGGTCACACAAGGCCTCCGTCCATACTCCCTGTATCAGGTGTCGAGCTGCACAGCCATCATAGCTCACTCTCATGCAGTTGTGGTTCAGTGGGGGAGAGAGGGCCGACTCACTGCTAATCTTCATGTTTCCAGCTCTTTTTCTGTGTTTTTGTTCATGGGTCTTGACTGCTGAGAGCAAATTATCCTCAAGTATGGACTGGGGGGAAAAAAACAATGTCGTGTTTTCCAGCCCTTTTTCGAGGTTTATAAAATGAAAAATAACATTGTAGCCTCAGTGCACTCAGAATGTCTCGCTCCTGGTGAAACCTGGGCCTGTTCAGTTCATTCACTTGCAGGAATTGAAGAAAGACACACACAAAGATCTTCTTAAACAGCTCTACGCAAGTATTCCTCTTTTATCTGCTGCCACCTGCTGACGTTGTTACACAGACCAGGACACATTTTTGCTGTAAAAAATTAAGTCCTCATTCAAACACAGTTGCAACTAGAACAGGCATAGGCAAACTACGGCCCGGGGGCCAGATACGGCCCGTTTGGCTTTCTAATCCGGCCCGCCAAAGCTCTCCAGAATATGTTATTATTTATATTATTATTATACTTCCACATTTTCCCTGCAATACCCACATTTCCACGATAGATGGCGGAGAAAAGGATAAAAGTATTTTAGCCTTTAGGCATGACTTTTACATGTCATTTATCTTAGTTCACATGCATGCTCCATTTGTCTGCTGCTGCCCTGGCCCGCCTGTCAAATTTTAGGACCCATTGTGACCCACCAGTCAAAAGGTTTGCCAGCGCTTGAACTAGAACAATGACAACCACATGTCCACAAGATGGCAGTTTTTCAACCAAATGAAGAAAAAAAAAATCTCAACGAAATGACTTTCAGGAGCGTAGATATCAGATAAAACGAAACTGCGCGCATTTGTTTTTAAACGAAGCGTGTTGTTGCTGGGCAACCATGTGCCCTAGATTTTTTTTATCCATTGCTAACAACCACTCAACTGCCAAACAAGCGTGGGAATGCCACAGATCACATTGCTTCAACGGAACCTCAATCATCCTCAGAGTGATGGCTAAGTGAATCGCTCTAATGCAGCAGCCTGCTACGGCTGACTGAGGCTGCTGGAGGAACCTGACTGAAAACCAAACATATCAGATCTGTTGCTCAGCCAATTTACCTAAACACAGTAATATTTTTAATTCTCTCCGTTTACTCTCTTTCAGCCAACGATTCCTCACAGAAAATATTTTTAATTCTCTCCGTTTACTCTGTTCCTACATTCTGTGCTGCGATTCCAGCCAACGATTCCTTACAGATCCAGCCTGCTAAATAAACCCAGTTAAAAACTGGCGGAAGTCTCACTGCAGACTCTAAATCTTCTTCTAAATATCACCGCCCCCTTTGGCAAGCTTTCACAGGCCTCACTGTGCACATGTCAATGAATAAAGGAGGAGGAACAACACACCAGCAGAAGAGAAGCAGTCGTTTGGCTTCAGATATATTCCATTTCCTGTCTATTTGGATTCACTTTTTATTCTCTGTCATAGTTTGGCATTTAAAACAGGAAGTGTGATTTATTATCTGGAAACACTTGCAGAACATCCTGGAAACTTGTCTGTTAAAAAAAAGAAGGTGCTAAGATTAGCTACAATGTTTGTCAGAGTTGAGAGAGTCACCTCGAGGACATCGTTGCTAAGTTTGATTCATTTTTAATTCACCATGAATGAATAAAAATATTTCTTCCATCTTTTCCTTGGCAACATAATACATTACGGATCGATGGAACAAGGTGATGGACATGATGTAATCCGTCTTCTCTTTCTCGCCACAGAATCATGTTTCCTTTTCTGTCAATTTTCTTGTTGAACTAAAAATAGCAGCTATAAAATATCCCCTTAAAGCACAGATGCTCACCTTACACTGCAACTTAAATTACTTCTTACCTAACATTTCCAGTGTCACAACAGTCTCTGGAGGCAAAGGTCTAGGAATAACACGCACAAAACATTCATGAACCAATGAAGGAGAGACAAATATACCGAAGAAAACAGGTGTGAATGATGAGACTGATTAGCTACGTGGCTAGCAGGTGTGGGTGGTAACACTGATGACAGACACAGACCTAACAAAATAGGTCAAATAAATGGACCAAAGCCATAATTTAGCTCTAAATGTTTGTCTAAATGATGATTTTAATTAGTAATGATGTAATTATAATATACCTGAACAACAAATATTCAATAGAATTATTTTTTTTGTAGCCACAGGCTAACATTATTATATTAGTTTTTATGGCATCACTCATCAGTTGACAGCAGCAAAAACATTTTTAAAATTAGCAATGAAATACTTTAAAGAACTCTACCACATTAAAGAAACGTTCAACATAAATAAAGCGCTAAATGCTAATTTACAGTAAATGAATCAATGTGGTGTGACTGAGTGCTAGTCTGGAATAAAGCCAAATATTCATCAGGAAAATACTTTAAACTTAGCCTAGCAATAGCTTAACATCTGCCATATTTTAAGTTTGTAAGGATAGCCTGAAGCTAAACCAGAAATATATCAATTAGCTTTTCAAAATAGACAAATGCTTAAATTTAATCAAAAGCCCAGCTTAGCGAGTTCAATCCCAAAAGAGCTCTTTGTTTTACCTAAAAGTTAGCCAGAAAGTTAGACCCAGTGCTTGCAGGAATGTTTTTTTAAACTGCAAGGGAATTAATCAATCTTAATCTTAAATCATATTTTGAATATATTAAAAAATATAAATAAACATTAATAGTATTGATATACAATGCAGATAGAGCAACAGCAAAAACAACCAAAGATAGCATGAGGTAAACAATACGTTTCCAGACAGCATGTTAGCCCAGCACTTCTTAATGTCTTAACTGAATGAAAACCATGTTTAGAGTCCGGTCAACCCCAGGACAAACGTTTGTCTCTTATTTTAAAATGTGTGAGTATGAAGAATAAAACCACAGAAACACAGTGAAGCTGCATGTTCATCTACATATGGTCTGTGTGTGGGTTGGTTTGGTGACAGAAATAGACTACAGACACTGACTCAGAAGTGAAACTGCTGGACCGTCACAGCACAGTCAACTCAAACAGGGGAAAAAAAAAGATGATTAGATGTGGAGATAGAAAATGGTCCCTACCACTGAAATCATTAAACCTCGGACAACACTGACACTCTATTTACTCCAACCCTTATGAATACCCTAATGTGTCATTATCCCCGGGAGCTGTCAGCCGCAGCAGTCAGAAAATGTAGCCCTTGATTATAATATAGGTGAAGCCTGTGTTTATTCCACTGAGCCACAGCTACTGCTGACATGTTTGTTTTTTCTTCTTTTTTAATCAAGGTCCTTGAAACAGGCCTGGCTGGCACAGCGACGGTAAACACAGGCGTTCACAGAAGCCACTCCCTGAATCCAAATACATTCATGACCACAGAATAAACTGCAGTTTTGCATACCAAAATGGAAAGAACAGGAAGTATGCAAAGATGCTGAACACAGGCATGCAGTATATAAAACCCCCTGATTTCCTGTGTAACATTGTGAGGAGAAGGACAGCTGCACCACAAAACTGTCAAACTGTTTCTCTTTTTTCATTTCCTTTGTCAAACTTCTGTTTCATTCAGATGGTGTGGTACTACACCTTCACTTTGCAGCAATGGTATCTACATAGTATACATGTTCGTGGTTAATGTATCAATGTGGGCCAAGTAAAACAACGTATGTCCCACATAACACACGAGCTGGGTTTTAGATGTACAGTAATACATAGAATATATAATTTAAATATGTCAACAATCATTTGTCTAATTTGACATATTTTTCAAATTATAATCTGATGTTTCCCTTTAAATACAGTACACTAAATCTTAATATCAAGGGTTCTAAGAATATTAAAATGAATAGGTCAAAACAAACAGGACAGTTCCATTTTAACATCAGAAGTCCAGGCAGTCAGAAAACTTACTTTCAATAAAAAAAAAAAAGTTTTGACTTTTCACTTTTTGTGAATTTTATTTTTCTCCTTGAACATACAGCTGAAGACACAATAACACATCCACCAAAACTGGCCATAAACAAAATCTGACTTTTTTTTTACTCTCATGTCCAAGCCCAGCTACTGGTACAGCAGGTGGAGCTCATGTGTTTGGACTGAAAATGAGGATTTGTCCACATGTTCCACACAGGCCCTGAATATGTTCCTGTGTGACTAAAGAGCAATACATAATCAAAGGTGATATGTGTCCCACACGGGACAATGTGGTCAATGTGGGCCACATCAGGCATTCAAACAAGGGAACTGGATCTGTTATTGCCCATAGAAAATCCCAAAATGGCCCATGTTGAGAAATGATAAATGTGACACTTTTTGAAAAATGTCGCACTGTCATCTGGATGCGGTCTAAATGCCTCACATTCGGCCCATTCTCATTTTAACTACATCTGGGAACATTGCAGTCAACCTCTGAACCACATCTGGCCCACAGGAGTTAATTGTTCATACCATAAAAACCACCGCAAATATACAACGATGATGATGATCTGACAGAAACAACCAGAGAATCTGTCTCTGCATCTCAGTCTCCCGTCTGTCCAGGTTTGACCCCCGTAGTCAGCATGTGTAGCACGTGGTTGAACAGTAGAAGACGTTGTTGTTGTGCGACAATAACCGTGTCCAGAACTCAGTTGTGTAATTGTGACACACTAAAAGGTTTCACACTGCGATCACAGAGGAGCCGTGACCCAAGGACAGTGCAGATGACTGTAGCATGTGGTTGCAGGGATCAAACATGTGACCGACAACAGACGAGCTGCTGACGTAGTTGTTATTGCTGCAGCGCTGTCTTGGCACGAACATGTAGTAGTTTTGTCACTGGTGGAGAATCGGTGGTCTATGTGTACGAGCGGCACTTGATGTGTGAAGGAAGCCTTTCAGGTTGGATCACAGTGACAAAGTCCCCGATGTTTCCCTTTAGCATCAGCTGTAGTGTCTCTTTAATGAGGTAGAGACAGATGTCGGACTACGTTCACGCCGAGGGCCTTTACGATCAATTAGGGTCAATTTGTGTGTGTTTTGTAATTAGACAGAAAAATTAGACTTCATGTCACATTCAGGATCTTTTGGGAAAAAATCAGATCTGTATTCCTCGCCTATCATATCACATATACAGCTTAAGGGCAGTGGTGGCTTGTTGGTTTAGGTTTCAGGTTCGAGTCCACCAGCTGCACAGTTACCACTGAGGTGCACTGAGCATGGCATCATCCCCACACACTGCCCCCTGCTGAATTTGGTGATGGGTCAAATACAGCGGTCACATTTTGTGACACTGTCGTTCACTTTCCACTTTCCTATGGGTCAGGACCGAAAGAACAAGATCCCAGAAATGATCTCTCTCCACAGGGTGGCAGGGCGCTCCCTTAGAGATAGGGTGAGGAGCTCTGTCACCCGGGAGAAGCTCGGAGTAGAACTGAGTCAGCTGAGGTGGCTTGGGCATTTACATTGCATGCCCGCCGGACGCCTCCCTCGGGTCATGTCCCACTGGGAGGAGACCCAGAGAAAGACCCAGGACATGCTGCAGTGACTATGTCGCAGGATCCACCCCCCCCCCAGAAGAGCTGAAGGAAGTGTCTGGGGAGAGGGGACTCTGGGTGTCCCTGCTCAGACTGTTGCCCCCGTGACCCAGCCCCACATATGAGGATGACGACGGATGAATGGAGATATGTATTTGATTTGGATGAATGGCCTGGATCTGACGTGTGCTGCTCAGACTGCAACAAAACTCGTATTCTTGCCTCTTGCCACATCCTCTTGTGCTCTAAGAGAAACACTGTTACATTTTATAACCTCCCTTTCTGCCTTAAAGCAAGTGAGGACACATGTATCTAACACATCACGAGAACACAAAAAAACCCCAAAAATGTCACTATCAAAGGTGCAAAAGAAAAGCTAACACAAACATGGTCCCAGTCTCAAATGGAGCCGAATGTCCGTCTGGGCTGGAGAAATCGGAAAGTAATATAACACGTGGTACTGGGCAATGAATGTCACTCATTGTCGGGCCATGTAGCCGTGCATTTGCCGGAAAAAACAACCGCGTCGCCATCAAAATCCTTGGAGACTTCTGATGTTTGATGATTCTTCATTTTGCCTTAAATCATCTTGAAGGCACAGTACTGTGTTGAGTGTAACCGACAGAGAACGTTTACACAGGTATAAGATTTACACACATATTTCTGCACCTTCAGTCTGAGGAGGAACATCGTACAATCCATGCACTTTTCCATGCGGCACAGACAATATGGCACCTTCACATTAGTCACTGTTTTACAAGTTTTTCTCAAGAAAATATACTTTAAAAAAAAAAGTGCAGTAGTGTGCAAAAACCTCCGGTTCTGTTGTTTCAGCAACACTGTAATAAGACCAGACAGTAAATCCAGCTACGTGCAGTTGCAACTCCAAAATGCCTTTCTTTCCCCAGTTAAGTCTTGAATAAATAGGGGGTTTGTGTCACCAAAGGTGTCCAGCGTAAAAACTGCAACAGCAAAACCACTATGTCTACGGAAGGGGCTGAGTGATGTCACTCTACACATCGTCCAATCAAATGAGCAAAATAAATAAAACATAAAAAGCAAAGCATGTAACAGGCTGGAATTGTAAACAAAAAACTTTTGCTAAAAGGATAAAAACAATATGCTAACTGTCACTGCCAAGCCCACCTAAGCCTGTAATAATAATATATAATTATAATGCAAGTACACCGATATCATTTTTATTTGTCATGAGTATTCTTTACTGTCTCAGATTTCCTATGGTACCTGAACGCCCCTCGTTACTGACATGCCAGTCAGTGGGAGCCACTTAAGTGCTTTGGGGGTTGGAGGGTTGTGAAGCTTTTGCGACGTAGCAAACTACACTTTCCATACATCGAGAGTTAAACACGCCCACTTCATACCATGACTAATCACATAATAGGAAAAAGTTCCACACTGATAATCTGTCAAAAACAAGCTCTAGGAACTTCCTTTCAACGCTGCCTGTGTTTTACCTTTGTTTCAAAATAGGGGACAGTGTTGAGTCCAAACACTGAAGTGAGGTCTCATTTCTGATATATTGTTTGGCAACACAGATATTGGCAGAAGTTAAATAGTTGATAACTTGCTAAGGAAAGGGACAGGAGAAAAGACAGAAGGCAGTGTCCCTGCCGATAAACACAGCACCAAGTACGGTTCATTATTTTAGGAAATTCAGGTGTACTACACCGTTAAAAAAGACTGAACGTTCAGTGTTTGAGTCCAAAACAACATTGTGGCCAGAGACTTTTGCACAGTACAATTATTTACATTTGCAAGGCCGGTAAGAACTTTTGTACATTTGTCATGTTGGCGTTGTGCATGACTGGAAAGAACAGCACGAAATGCAATCACAAAATAAAAAAAAAGTGAAAAAACAAAAAACAAATCACAATTCTGTCAATAAAGTGTTTTACATTTAAATCAAAACAAACAAACTCATTAGGAAAATTAGGCAGCCATTAAAATGCCTTTTTCTGAGACGCCCACTCTGCTTTAATGCCACTGCCTCGCTCTTTATATCAGCGTCTGGCCATTTGAGAAGCACAAGGACACGGCGAGAACATGGATCAAAGAGACCACTGTTTTCCTGACTGGGCACTTGGCAAGAACAGTACAGTTACCCAGGGGTGACTTACAGCTGCCCCTCTAAAGAAGTATCTCAGCAGCTTGGCTTGTGTCAGTGAAGCTGTTGAAACGGTAAAAATACTTTTCATTTACATGCTTTTTCCAGCGCTATTTCTAATTTTTTTTTTTTTTAATTCACATTTAGACAACAATAAATGCAAGCACACCAGTGTGTAAACATCCTCCCTTTGCATTAAAGGAATAATATGCAACTTGGCTACGCATTTGTGGGAATATACTGTAGTATTTTCTTTTCATTCCTAATGGCTCCTGCTTTGAAGTAAAGCTCTGTTTGGCTGAGCATTAGATTGGCATTGGAAAATGCCAATCAAGTGCTGGGCTGAAGAAAAGCAGAGGAAAATCCTTTTATTCACACACACTCTCTCCCCCTAACCCCTCCCTACTCTCTCCCTCCCCCCCTCCTCCCATTAAATTTCACTTCTATGCAAGTTTCTAAGAACCAGGACGCCATCATCTCCTCTGTTGTTTGTCACATCTTGTCAGTCTTTCAGTGCATTTCATTATCCCCCCATGCTCTGCTGCTCCTTCTGCCTCTGCTTAACAAAGACCCAGGGGGGGGTTTGGTCCAGCTGCCACATATCGTGGTCAGATACAGTAGTCAGCACAAAAAAAAAAAAAACCCATCCCCCAACCCTTCCCCACTGTGCACATTTTCACTTTTCTTTCCAGCCTCAGCTGAGGGCTTTTCACTAAAAAACACCCACACATCCATGCACACACACAGACACACGTGTCCATGCACACACACAGACACACGTGTCCATGCACACGCACATATTTTACTACAGAAACAAGGGGGCGGAGGTACGACAGGTTTTAGGAATGTTTCAAGGTCTCCGTTGCTGCTGGTCTATAATTTTTTGCGGGAAAATGGATTAAGCAATACAATTACGCAGCAGCAACAGCAGTGTGTGTGTTTGTGTGTGTGTGTGTGTGTTTGTGGACGCAGACCAGCCTTCTGCCAATTCAATAACCAAGCACAACTTCATCTGCTTCTTGTAATCCACCAAACCTCCACTGACCGCTGCGTTTCAGCTCCACGCGGTGCTCTCACCTCCTCCCTCCCTACGGCGGGCAGCGTCCTATTCTCATGCGCAGCGTGCCGCTTTTGTGCAATTGCCAGAGCTGCAGAAACTCCTCAGGCATGGTATGGTAATAGCTGTAGGGCAGGATGTTGTCGTAGTAGTGGTGGCTGACCGGCCGCTCGTCCAGGCCGATGGAGAACGGCCAGAAGCCGTAGGCCGTCACCTCCTCGCACAGCCCCAGAGCCAGGCTGACCAGGTAGAGCCCCGTGGAGAGGCGTTTGGCGTGGATGTTGCGCGCTTTCCAGAATTTGCTCAGCGAGTGCAGGAATTCTGGGTTGGCAAACAGCATAGTGAGGTTGGAGGAGGTGTCTGCCAGGGCGTAGTAGGCTCGCAGAGACGGGTCGGTGCAGGGCTTCATTGAGAACGCAGGCATGTAGATGTAGCTGGAGCTGTACACCTTCATGTTCTCCACAAACACCTTCCTGGACCACAGAAGGTTCTGGAATCTAAGTAAAAATAAAGACAAATTTGCTTTTATAAAGTGTTTAGTCTGCACCTGAAAATATATTTTCTTCTGGTCACCAATTTTTGCATAACTTGAAGCTTATTTTCTTTATAACCATTAGTGATCTCTGGACTTAATGTTTTTAGTCTTCTGCAGCTAAGTTTTAATTGTTCTGCTTTTCGCACTCCTTTATTCATCTTGTGGCTAATATTTATTCACCTGCCAAACTTTTAGCTATGTTCGAGTTCAACTTTAGCTATTTATCCCCAGGTTTTTGGAGTAATCGTTCTCTTTCATTTGGGAAATGGTTTGATTTTCAGTGAGTCTTATGAACTATTTTGCTCGATTTTTTTTGGCTAATACTTGTGTTATTCAACCATTAATCTTAACTTTCACCAATCTGTCTTTTTGGACCTTTAGCTTCAGCTACAAAAACCTGTAATGTAAGCTATCAAGGGACTCACTCAGAGTCACTACGTCAGTTCATATACTGCAGTACCTTTTTCTACATCGTGCTCAGTATAGACACTCATTAGACTTTGTCTAATGCACATTTTGGCCTCCATCAGTGTGATGCTGCAGAGCACTAGTGAAATGAATCCCTTTCAAAAAAGCGTAAGATCAATATCTCAGTATCAATATCTGAGTACTTCTCACTGATCTCCTCCTCCACAGGATCATCTAGGTTTTCTCAAACACATCTGCGTCTGCTCCTCTGTATTTACAAACACAGGCTTCAGCAGAGTCCACATGGTTCACCTTCTCTCTATGATGCTGGGATTGGCTGTGACCAGGTGCGTCCTGTGTCCCACGTCCTCCACGTATTCCTTTGTGAGCGGTGGAAGGTTACTCCTGAGGAAAGGACACGTGACAAAAGACACAATATTCACCGTCTTTGGGTTGATCTGCGACAGAGGATTGTTTATTTTTTTATTCCATTCAGACCAGTGTGAGTGATTTACATCTTTCATTATTGAGACCAGAGTTGTTTTGGTACATGTGGTTTTAGTTGTTTAGAACAGTGGTCCCCAACCCCCGGGCTGTGGACCAGCTACGGTCCGTGGGTCAGTTGTTACCGTGCTGCAGAGAAAGAATGCATAAATTAAATTATTTCCTTTTTATTTATTATCTGATTCTGAACGATGTTTTATTTTGAAAAATTTCCGGTTTCTCTCGGCCGCATCTGTCTATGACTTGGCTTCAGAACTTCGAGGACACTGCTAATAAAGTGGCTTATTGTTTACTATTATACGTAGGAAATACCAGTTTCTATGTCGGTCGTATCGTTTTATTTAGTTGTATTTATCCACCACACCTTAAAGGCTGGTCCGAGGCGCAAAAAAGGTTGGGGACCGCTGGTTTAGAAAACACTGACGCTCCCTCACTGTGGAGACATTTTCATCTCCTTTAATCACCACGCTGTAAAAACAATTAACTTAACAACTAACCATTTGGCAATATTTTTTCTCAACCCAAAATATCATTTTCAAACGTATCCGTAGATGGTTTTGGTTTACTTCCAAGTCCTTTTTAACATGTCCTTCTCCTTTTCCTATCATCATCTATTTCAGTATTTGCTCACTCAGACTGTTCCCCTCCTGTTTCCTTTCTCTTGTTTCCTTTTTTCACTGCAGACCTTTTTTTTCGGTGTCCTTTTTGCTGAGCTTCTGCCGTCAAACACCAGCAGCACCTCATTATTACTGATGGCGTCGCGCTCTCTCTCCAGGGCACAGCTGAGTCTCATTCACAGTCAAGCAGCTACCACTCATGCAAACACACGCGCACATTCAGTCACAGTGAAACCAGAGAGTCCTTCATTATTCTCTCACCGCATAATGAAGTCGGCCTGGTCGATGTGCTGTCCGCATTTGCTGTGTCTGAGGATGCCGCTGTTGCCAATCACTGCACACTTCTTCAGGGGCAACGGCAGAGGGTTGTCCTGGGGAGACAAGTTTGTTTGTTAGATTTGTTAGCATACTTTGGTCCCCTACCACCAAGTATTACTTCCCCTGAGGAATTTTACAGTTCAGTGGAGGACTTTAAATGCAGAATCCATGACGCATTTAAAAAGCACAGGCGTTCTTTGTAGCTATAATACAGTGTACGACCCCAAAGGTCGGCAAAGACAAAGACAAAGTTTATTTAATATAGTTGGTCAAGCTACAAGCAGCAAGTCATAGTGTCTTATTAGATCGAGAAACATGACATTTATATTAAATCATTTATAAGGACAGCCCATTTTCTCATTTCGCACAGTGAAAGAAAATCAGACAGACCACGGCCTCCTTTTGAGACACCAGTTATTAGCATTTGTGCATGATAATGTTCATACCATTAATTTTCAGAACTCCAGAGGGATTAATAAAGTTCTATCCATCCATCCATCTATGTGTAATCTAAACCTCTGGCAGATCAGATATCATGAGCCACAGTTCTGGCCTGAGAGCCGTCTGTTGCTGTCTGGATTGATTGATCTGGATCGTCTTTTATTCTCCCAGACTTCTGTGAACTCTACAACATTCGGCGCTTCATGCTGGAGCTGTGTTGCAGCGACTCCATGAATCCTATCCTGGCTGTGAATCATCCTCCCTTTAATTAAAGCCTCCTACAGGGCTGGTATTAGGAGTGTGACAGAGAACACTGTAGAAGTCCTGCTCCGTGAAACACACACCTCAAATGTTCTCTTTCTATTCGCCGCGGCTACATTATTCAGAGGTGCGTATTATAAAGACAGCGGAAACAATTGCGTTCATTATTCTCCTCCAACTGGGCACACAACCGGGAATACACACATCTCTCTCTCTGCCCCAGGGTGTCAGTTGGACCATGACAGCGGGGTTAGTCGGAGAACAATACCAGCTAACAGTCCATGATGTTGGGGAGGGGAACTGGATTTAGCCAAGGGGTTCTAAAATAGAAACCCGGACGTGGAATGGAAATGAACGTCTCTTCACATCAACGTTAACATTTTGTGGAATAGCTTGTGGTCTCGATACCTAGTTGAGGATCTGAACTGGTGTCAATTTTAGAAGTTGTGATCCAATCCAAGGTGATATAATAAATGTACAGTAGGCAAATAAAAAATAATTAGTAAGTAGATAATATAGAGAGAAATGTAAAAAAAAAAAAAGAAATGTGTAATGTCAGGGTAACATTACCAGCAAATAATTTCATTACCAGTAAAAATTACCAGCAACCAAAGCCAAAAACAAAAACTGCTAACAAATAAAACATCAACAAGAAAACCAACAAGGGAAAAAACAAGAAAAGTAGCTCAAACCTTGGTGGGAAAAATGTTTGGTAAATTAAAAATAGCTTGGATTAAAACAACACTAAAGCCAGCTCTGGTCATTTCCAGCCATTTCTTTTTTCATCTCTGTTCAAATCGCCTGCTCTACATCAACACAAAGACAATGACACGGCGCTGCGGCTCCGCTTTATCGCTCCCTTTTCCTTATTTATCTCCTCTCTCCTCCCCCATCATAAATGAACCTGCACAGGCTGCGATTGCAAATTAGGGTCAGATATTCACCCTGTCTCTCTGGCCAGGATATTAGAAGGCAGAAGTGCAGCATCGGCAACAGGGACGCAATTTTGATTGTTGCCGAGACAACCTTGGATACCAAAACCACGGCAACTGCAGTTGGACCTGAAGAGTCTCATTTTCTCCTGTTTCCAAGCGGGAATCATAGCAACCTTTGTAGTAGTAGCCTGTGTACGCCTGCTAACTGTGGAAATGTGGAAAAAGATCAGTGTTTTTCTAAGTATATTTTTTAAATATTCTTTTGTGTTTTTTTGACAACAGTTTCTTTAAAGAAATCATAGATATCTCTATTGCCTTCCTCATCCACGCAGGCTGTCCTTGCTGTAACCCCCTGTGCCTGCACTGATTTGCTCCACTGCCTGCTGCCATTATGAACCTTGTAAGAACTCACAGTCCCCAAAACGGTGTTGTATAACGCTGAGTCGGCAAAGGAAAGAATAAAACAACCACTTCCTATTTTCCCTGGTTTTTGCTTCTCTGTCGTTGCTCAACACCTGACCCAGCACACTGAGGGCACAGACATGATGCATGCAGTACACGTCATGACCAGACCTTCACCTCACACTGTCGTGGAACTCATGATTCAGCCTTTTACTGTAGTCAGCTGTTAGTAAATGTTAGATTTTTTTCCCCTTCATACCTCCACAAAGAGCGGGAAGGTCTCGTTGTTGACGGTGTGCGAGTGGTAAAACTCGCCGTCGTACCACAGGACCTTGCCCATTGGTGAGTTCTTCTTGGTTACAGCAAACATTCCCTGGGGATTGCAGCAGTCCGTCAGCAACTTCCTGTGCAGAAAGGATGTAGGTATTTAAAAAGGGTTTAAGGCAAATTAGATTTAACAGCTTGAATGGGAGACAGGTTAGACACACGACTCATAATTTCTGTCAGTAGGGAATGCATAAGCAAGGAAGCGTGTGGCAAGCTTTTATGGTACACCTGGGAGTTAACCAGTTCTCCGTAGACTGGAGCGAAATGATTTTACAGCCACTATACATTAGTGAACACACTGTGGCCAAAAAATTCTTCCACCCCTGACCATAAATAGATAAAGCTAAAAATTTAATATTTCAAAAATTGGTGGTGAACACATAGCACTTAGCTTTTGCCTCTATTTATCCCAGGGGTGCTCTAAATGCAGTTCAAATTAGCTTGAACGTCTGTCTCCTGCTTTCCAGGAAAAAAAAAAGTTTATATAAGTCTCCACAGAAAAGTTTCTCCGTGAGGTGCTTCATCTATCCTTTAAGTGTGTTCTGTAAGTCATTAATAGTTTTAGCGCTAAAACATTAGCATTTCCAGAGTGAAGACATTCGCGGTTTTGTTGCTAAAACATTAGTATTTTCAGTGTGAAGACATTTGCGGTGTCAGCGTTGGGGCTAGTCTCCAGGTGTTTTGTTTTAATGCCCTATCATAACAAATGTTGCAGTCTGTCTTGTCCCTGATGTTAAATACCTCCAAACTGCTGACAGTGCTGACCTAATTTAATAAATAAGACACCGAGCTGCAGTAAGAACACACACTCACAACGGACTCACATGGGCTAAAAATGCTATAAGCTTTTCTACACAAATCATTGGGGAAATGCGAGCATTGCAGGGAAAAGACAAATGTATAACTGATATATATGTATAACTATATATAAATATAAATTAATAATATAATTTGGACAAGTTTGGTAGGCCGGATTAAAAGGTTAAAGGGGCCGCATCCGGCCCTTGGGCCGTAGTTTGCACATGCCTGGTACAGTATAGTGAGTTCACTGGATTGGTAATTGAATGAAGTATTAGGTCTGATACTGATACTGACACTGGAGTACAGTACCGGGGCATCCCTAACTGCAGTACAACCAGCCTATGATACTAATGAAAGCCATGTTGCGACGTGCATGAACACCAGAGCTAATGCTAGCTGTGGGAAATAACCTTTTTTTTCATGAAAATGAAAAATAAACATTATACAAAAAACAAAAATTAAATTGGAATTCTAATATAAACAGCCTTTATCCATAAGAAATGATGATATTTAATTTATGTTAGCCACAAATCTGACAACTCTTTTGTGATATTGTTAACTTGTCCTTAAGACTTGTAAACTGGTCCCATTCTTTAAAGACTAAATCTGTACAGGAATAAGTGTGCTTGAAGCAACAAGGTTCAACGTTTTAAAAGTAAAATAATTTTTTTTTAGCTCTGTCTCCTTCGTAAACATTGGCTGCACATCTGTTCTTACAGGGTTTTCTTTTGGTTGTTGTCAACATTTTATTAACTGCTCAGAGTCTCAAGTGTTAAGGAGAACAAGGACCGGTTTGTCCACCACCCATTGTCATTCGTTTACAGTCGCCCTGTTTTAAGTATGTTATGGACTGGATTAGAACCAGCAGTAATTCCAGTGGCTTCCAGTTCAAAACCAGATCTGCAGCCTGTGGGATCGCCCCAGGCCATCACACACTTATTTCTAAGGGACACATCCGGCCCCGAGCATTAGTTTGCCCATGCCTGCTGTAGACCAACCCTTCTAACTCAGTTAGTAGTTACATTACACTGGATTACAATCACAGTCCCATGTATTTAACTCCATGTACAAAAAGTTGTACACATACCACTGTTTGAGAACCACTAATCTAATCGGTGTCTTTACGGACAGCCTTATTTAAATGCCATTTTTATCAGGATGTCTTTTTTATCGATCAGTTTTGTCCGCGCAAACGCAGCTCTTTACGCTGTGAGTCTAATCTCCAGTCCACAAACTGTAAATGCAAACGAATAAAACATACAGGCAGAAAGCAGCCTGGCTGCAGATAAAAAAAACCCCCACAACCATTTCTTCCTCTTTCTGGTGGCCTACGACAATTTGGTCAATGATTACGTTGTGTCATTCCTTTGGAAATTCCTGCACACTCTACCTCTATTTATTTAGCGAACATTGGCATTTGCTGCCAAGACTCGCGCATGAGCCGGAGATAAACGAGCAGAGAGACGAACCTGTACAGATCGATACCCGTCTGGTTCTTCTGCCACACATCCCCCTGCCTCAGCACCTCGTCCACCATCTCCTTCTCGCTGGGAAGCCTGTACACAGGGAAAATGTAGAACCAGCAGAGAACCAGGACGCACAGAGCGGCACACACGGACAGCTTGGCCCGGTAGCATCGCACCAACATCTTCCCGGCTGCGTGGAGTCTTGTACGGTTCATAAGGCAGCAGTGACCGGTCGGCGCTGCAGTAAATCCAAACAGGTGTAGAGTCAAATTAACTCCTTTAAAATCCTCTTATTAATCTGCAGGTCAAATCAAGTACATTCCGGGTGAAGGATGGAGAGGGCTGCAGAACAGTCAGTTACCCGGCAGATAGGTTTGGATGGGAGGATGGAGAGGTGGCGTCTTCTCGCTGCAGCTGCACCTCATGCGCTGAAGCGTTTTGTTGGGATTGCCTTAATGTTCTTCCCGCGGCCCGTCATTGACTGTGTTTAAAAAAGCACCGCCCCTTTGTACCGCCCTCTGCGGGCGCTCATGCTCACATCATGGCAGCGAGGCAAATCCGTTAAAATGCATTAGCAGAATACAATATTTTTTCAACTTGAAATTTGATGACTTTTCCTAGATTGACCCCAACATTAGAAAAAGTGAATTGTTACCTTTATTAATATTTCCATGTAAGATGTACAAAAAAGGTACAAATATTGTCTTTGGGTCAAAATGACCCGACAGTCAAACTGAGTTGAAATCACAGTCACAGTTAGTTACAAACCACCAAATTTGATAATGTTTTAGTTCTGTCTTAGATCAATCAGTAGCAGAGCTAAACAAGACAGGACAGGTAGTCTTCTCACTGCCTGTGACCTGATCTGACCCAAATGTAACAGTATTGCTCCTTTGTCTGTGTGAATTCCCAGAGGCTATAATTTAGACAGCACTGCCTATTCTCTCTGTGCTGAAGCCATGAGTGTGCGTTATAACATTGAACAGGCTCTAGAGCTGATTTTTTTTCAAGATGTCCACCAAGACAACTCTGATTCAGAAGAGGAAGATGGGGAGGAATACAACCCAGAGCATAATGAATCCCTGAATCTGAGAGAGAGAGACTTTCCTTTCAAACAACGGCAAAATAACATGGTCCTTGGCAGCATATGACAAACATGGCAGAACAAAATGTAACGAGGATGACCCCAGGACTCACAAGATATGCCATTTCTCATGCCCATGACATTGTCTCAATGTCAACTCTACCTGTTCATCACACCAGCAATAGAAAAAATAATCCTAGAGAAGACAAATCTAGAGGGTTTTTGCAAATATGGCGACAGCTGGAAAAGGATGGATGAGACTGACCTGCAGGCCTGCTTAGGGCTGCTAATCTTAGAATTGAAAGCTCCTTTTTGCACATTTCTATTCTTTCTTAAGTATTAAAAATACTATACAAATATTGCTTACCACCTATACAGTAAACAATAGTACAATTGACAACGTCATGGCAACGAGCGTTGTCTTGAATAAATGCAGTCTTTCTGCCAGGTGAGGCAAGTTGTTTCTTCAAGCAAAATAAGATTTGGTGTTTAAAATTCAATTGAGCTGCTTATATTGAAGGTTTAGTGAAGACGGGTCATTTTGACCGGAGGACACGGGGGGTATACAGAATATGAGGACAAACGGAGGGTTAAGACTGCTCGAGCTTCGTTGACGTTGTGTCTGAGTACGCCAGAGGTGGAAAAGGTATTAAATGAAATTGTAATTAAGTAAAAGTATTTCTGCTTTGCTTAAATTCTAAGTAAAAGTAGCCATCGTAAAATATCTTGTAGTAAAAGTTTTTTAAAAAGTTAAACTTTTAGCTTTAACTTGAGTTAAAATGTACTTTTATTAAGAGGTAATCGTCAAATTCTATGATCGTTTCAACGCTTATACAAGCCACTAAAGCATACTTACGTTTTGACGTGTGGTGCCGTCGTGACAGCTCTGTCCGCCGCAGCAGGCTCATTTTGTATCGCATGATATACGTATTTCCTCGTTTGAACTTCAAAACAATGAGCTGGCTGAGATATGCCTAAGGATTTCCTTCACCTTCCTCTGCTCCAAAGGAAACTCTCTGCTTGGCAATGCTAATCCTCCATTGTTGTTTGTCACCAGCCACCATCCAACGACAGGATAGACTATCTCTACGCCACCGTTCTCTTGATACGTGTCTGTGAAGATTCTCAGTCAAGCGACTGGAGAAGTTTTCACGTCGTGCCACAAAATGAGAAAATTTCACGTCCAGTGTAACCTTCTACCTTTTCTCTGGATTGATTAAAAGAGCGGGAAAATCCGCGCGCGCGTAATAACGGCTACTTTTTAAACGTAGCGAAGTGTACTGGTGTCAAAATATACTTAAGTAAAAGTAAAACTACCTATTCGCGAAACAAACAAATTACTCACAAAACTACTTAAAGTAACGTGAGTAAATGTAATTCCAAAACGAAAGAGCAACATCCCCTTTTGTTTCCTGTTGTGTTACAGAAAAAGTAGTGTTGAAGAGAGCGGTTTGGATGATTGGTTAATTTTATTTAAAAAAGCAAGTATATTCTGTAAATAAAAAATAATTTCTGCTAATTCATTTTAATTTGAATAAAGGTACGGATTTGCTTCCATAACATAACCGCCAGTTATGGAACAATATATAAGTCAGACAACCACAAACATCGTATAACGTAGTAAGTAAATAAAGAACTGATTCTGTAGGTGCCCCTATCCGACAGCAGATGGCACTGTTCTCCTTTGAACTTCTGCTGTGGTTCAACACGAGGGGTTTGAGTTGATTCATGAGAATGCTGAATTGCAATATTGAATGATTTTCATGATTTTTTAAAAATATAATTAATTTTATTAATTAAACAGAAATACTAGAACGATTGACAGTTGAGACTTTTATTGTCATTCCACTGTGATTACAATAGTTATATTTCAGACAAAGACAGGGAACGAGAAAAAAAACAAAGTTAAAATTCTGTGGAAAAAAGAAGACAACGTGAGCTCCTCAGATGTTGGCACTTCAGCCCACAGACGCCAAGATGACGTCCACGACTGTCTCTTCTGTGCTCCGCACCGTCACCTGCATGGTGACACTGTCGGCTAGTGCAAGGCGAGCTCGGACGAGAACATCGTGGCATCCACGGAAAACACCTGAGAGAGGTGAGATGTTTGACTGTTAAGATGGCCTGTGAAAAAATACATATCTGTTGTGAGTGGTCGACATCAAACACCCACCTGCCAGGAAGAGGACGTGTGAGTTCTTGTTTTCAGGGACTTTGTCGGAGCGTTCACATGGTTGCATTCCCAGGAAGCTGATGATGTTACTGACCGCCTCTGTATGAGCACAAACCAAGTATTAGAGATGTTACGTCGTCAGTCAACAACAGTAAAACACTTTGCACTTCCAGACTTTAAATCTGGTCTTTGACCTGTCAGGCTTCTTTGGCTCATACTATTACAACTGACCGGGAGTCAGTGTAAGTAGATGTTAGTGAAAATGTTAGTACCATATGATTAACTAGTAGTGAAATTATTGTATCACAAAAGTGATGCTTCATGAATGGAAAACTTGTGGAGAGTGGAAAATTACTGGGTGCTTGTGTGACAAATGTAGCATGACAAGACATCAGTATCGTTCCTGTTGTTAAAGACATAGGGCAGAACAACTTGGCAGCTGGGGAACAGAACAACTCCCTATGATATAGTGTATGTCTGAGTAATAAGTGTCACAGTAACCATTGAGTTTTGAACAACACACTCAGGAAAGCTTAAAACTGGTGCCAAAACACCATGAAAATTAGATTAGATATATCACACTGGAGAAACTGTTGAAATTAGCCACAGCATTTAGCCTTTTCTTTCAAAATTATAACTAAACGTTAGCCAAGACATGACAAGTTTCTTAGATGCAACAAATATAAAGTCTTAACTTAAAACCTTCAAGGTAATTGTAAGTTAAAAATGGCGTAAAGAGTAAAAACAAAATAAATCAAAATTGACCTCAACAATACTGTATAATAAAAATGTAAAAGTATTTTAACATTAGTTAAGTTAACAAAACATTAGGAGATAGCTAAAACAATTTTGCCACAAATATTTTACAAAATTTAAATCCTACAGCTAGCACATACCTGAAGGTAAACAACTTAGAGAACACCAAAAAGTTGTAGGGAATACATTTTTTTTATTTTATTTATTTGGCCACAAAAGTAACAGATTTAACTTGAATAACTGCTATAAAATGCTTCAATTGGTTAGAACTTAGTCAGAAGCTATTGGAATACAAATGTCCTTAATATATCTAAACACAAGGCTGAGAAATGTAGCTTAAGGACAATTGGCTGAAGTTGAGTTGTGTCTTGGACTTAATGAACCTGTAAACGTAAATGTCACTTTGTACTCACCGTCCAGAGTTCGTACAGAAGCCAGGGCAAAGGTCTCCTCCCTCTCAAACTCATCCCCCACTTCCTCCCACGCTGCTCCAAAGTTGGGTTTCAAGACCTTCTGGATGTGGTCTGCGACAGTGACCTCCAGGTCTTCCAGCTGTGGACCAAGACAGAAAACAAAACCTGGTTAATTAACTCAAACTAATATTATTGGTTGGGGATTATTCAGATTATCATCTCATGATTTAGGATCACAGATTGACAGATTAGACATCTAACGTCCCTAATCAGGACACATACCACGTATTCATCATCATAACCGTCGTCATCAGGTTCTCCCGAGTTGGGGTCACAGTCTCTGACCAGGTACTTCATGGTACAGCTGAAGGTGCAGGACACTGTGGACAGGAGGACAGGACATTAGGTTGGGTTAGAGAGGGCGGGGAGTGGGTGTTAGAGAGGGAGGGAAGGGGTTAGGGTTAGGACTTTTGTTTCCCTACCAGCAGTTGGATCGTCGTCAGGCAGACGGACCAGGGTGTAGCAGGAGCCGGGCTGACTGTAGGGCAGGTTCTGGGCAGGGATGTAGTTGATCACCTCGTAGGCCTCTGCTGGCTCCATCTGAACAATGACCTGCAGCACAGAAGACAAACTGTTACACAGTGTTCCAGCTGTGGACTCCACAAGGACGCTCCTCCCACCGTACCTTCTGTAGCAGCTGGTCGTTCAGGGTGTTAGTGCAGTCAAACTGGAACACCATGTGTCCGGCGAAGGTGTGTTTGATGCAGCGGACCACGTACTCCGTCTCAGCCTCCGTCAACTGCACTGGCTCCGAGGACTTGAAGAGTGGGCCAAGACCCTGGAACTCTGTGATGGACGCCAGTTGCTCTGTGAAAAAACAGAGAGCGGACGCTTCAGTCCTAAAAGATTCTGACGACATCAGGTTCTAATCAAGAAGGAAGAAGAAGTTCAGCGTCCTGACCCTGGTAGATGTCCTGACGTGACGGAGCCAACTTTTCTGGAATCTTGCTGGATGCGACAGGAGCCAGTTCTGTTATAGATTTAAAAAAAAAAACCTCTCATCAACATGTTAACTGTGTCAATTAATAAATAACATTGTAATCTCCATAATTCTTCCCCCCATCAATTTACGGCTGCTCTAATGCTGCTCTATTTAAAAACACACTACAGGATTAAAGTTTCCATTTCACTGAAGCAGCTCAAGCTTAAAATACAACCTAATATCATTTACACTGCTTTTATATATATATATATATATATATATATACACACACATATATATATGTATGTGTATATATATATAATTCAGTTTATCTGTACATTTTTATACTTATCTAGTTACCTATTCGTTTTACCAATACAGTTTAGTGTGCTTATCTTTACATTCTATACATTTTATACAATTTTTGCATTTTATTACAGCCTCATATGTCTAGGTCGTGTTTCTTTTCACTACTTCATTGTTCTTTATTATCTCCGTTTGTAATGCTGCTGCTACACTGTCATTTCCCAGCCCGGAATCGATAAAGTCTGTCTATTTGTCTTAAAAATCACATCATCATTTAACAGCCTTAATAGAGAAACATAAAAGGAAACATACCTGTCTTCTGCTCTGTGATTGGAGCACTGGCCAGAGGAACAGACTTCAGGTCAAAAGGTCTCTCTGAAGGCTCCAGTGTGTACTGGTGGAGGGACTTTTCCAGGCCGGGGACAGAGACAGACAAACCTGAACACACAGAGAGACACTCTCAATGTCTTGGTTTATTGATGCATTTTACTTGCCACAATATGTTAAGCATGTTATGGAGTTATAAACTCAAAAGTCTTCAAATCCAGGATCTGGATCTGTGAAGTCCTACCATTGAAGATGTAAGCAGCGTTCAGAGCTTTCTGCTTCTGCTGCAGCACATTCATGTAGAAGGTCGCTCTGTCCCTCACTTCATCATCACTGTCCATCATGCACCTGTCACAGACGAACAGACAATAAAAACACGCTACATCACATGGTAACCACAAATGACAGAACCTCCAGAATCAGCTCAACAACTTGAGTAACTCACGAGTCCAAAATGTCAAGGTATAAACGTGACAGGAAGTTCACCTCCACGTCAGACCAGTTCACTGTAATCAAACTAAATCCTCACTTGGTTAAGCTAAGACCTATGGTTAAAGGATCAGGCCTGCAGCAACCTGGTGTTAGTTTTAAAGACTAGGTGGTATAAAACTCGGGGAGCATCTAGTGGCAGGCGGAGGCAATTGCACAATTATAGCCCCCTGTATAGGATTTTTTTAAAGCTAATCAAACACCTAAAAAATGACCAAATCTTAATAAAATACAGTAAAATGAGGTAAAGTAAGAAACTTCACAAATGTTTATCTAAAAAATTTAAAGTAACTCCATGACTCAAGACTCTTTCCAGCATCTTACTAAATCTATACTATTAACATAAGTTGATGAGTGTTTTCTTTATCTAACTAAAAGTATAATAATTCAAGTAAATACCTCTGCATAAGGACCAGAACACTTGGCAGCAGGTCGTCATTCTGAGCTCCAAATTTGGCCAAAGCGCTGACCGCAGCTAAAGACACAAAGAGGAGACAAGAACCTTAGTCATCTGGATGATTCAGACATGTGTCAAACCCTGAGATGACTCTCACCTGCACGAACGGCCTCGCTCTCCAGCACCACCCGGTTGAAGATGAAGCGGATGTACTTGGACGGCTGGGGCGTGCGTGGGCCCTCTTTGCCCAGCAGGTGCAGGATCTTGGTGGCCAGCACCGTGTGCTCACAGTCCTCGATGAACTCGCACAGGTGAGCCAGACCCGTCTCTTTGCTCTCGGGGTTCTCCTCGATGATGCCGATAATGCAGTCCACTATGGCACGCTTGTACTCAAACCCCCCCTGTTTGAACAAGTCAATAAATACAATTAGAGTATCCTCCTAATATAAACCCATACAGCAAAGAAAATAAATTCTTAATCCTGATCAACTCACGTCATCTCTCAGCATGTTGGACAAGAAGTTCATCATCACACTGTGTTTCCTGGGATACTTCTGACACAGGGCACTGATGGCCTGCACCACAACAACCTGTGATAATAAAAATAAACACAGATAAACATACAGACAATAAAATACAGATATTTAGAAGACACACAAGTCAACAAAGAAAAATAAAAAATAAGAAAATAAAGAAAAATCAAACCAGGCTGAGAATAACCGGACCTTGAACTCATCTGAGATCTCAGACACGAATGAGGAAATCTGCTTCATGAGTCGGTCCACGCTGCTCTCACTGCCGGTCTTGAGCAGAGTGGTGATGGCCAGGGTGGCGATGCTGCGGTTGGAGTCAGTGATCAGATTCTCAAGGTCCAGATTGCAAGCTGTGACTGCTGATGGGTGTTTCATTGCCACCTAGTGGATACAGATGGGATGACAGAGTAGGTCATTAAAATAAATCTAAATCAAAAATTAAAAGCAGTGGACTGGCTGTTGAAAGGTCTAACTGTGTACCTTGTTGAGGGTCCTGACTGCAGCGTACCTCAGGGCAGCTTTAGGAGAGCTGCAGAAGAGCTGCAACACTGCAGGAGGACACACACATTTAAAGTTCTTTTGATCAATGGTTGACAAACCAAAATAATATTTCTCCCATTAACTTAAATAATAAATAAGCATATTGCTACAAAATTTGAATTAATATTTTTTCCAAAGTGAGTGACTCAATAAAGAATAAATAATTCACTGACCGGACACAGCGGGGGCCAGCTCTCTGGCTGTACAGTTGGGCATGTGAACGATGGCTGACGCTGCCTCGTACACCACCATCTCGTTCTTGTTCCTCAGGCAGCTCTCAATAAAGTCAAACAGAGGACTGTCGTGACTGTTGACATGAAGAGAAACACAACATAACACCTTCAATCAGAAGTCATCATGGTCTTTTTAGCAGTTTTCTCATTTGACAGTAAATTATTTATTTATTTATTTACTTTTTAGCAGTTTTCTCATTTGACAGTTATTTATTTATTTATTTGTTGCATACTACTGGTTCCTTTGGTTATTTTTAGCCTTTGTTTACTCATGTTTAAGTCATCTTTGAGTAAATGTTTTACAGCTATACCTGCAATATTTGACATAATGTATACCTGCAAACCTGTTGTAAAATGTAAATCCTGATGTAAAGTCAATATTTCTATTACCATAGCACACTGCTACTCATTATTTTTCTATTACTTTGTTCTGTACTCTGCTGCTGTACTTCCCCACTGTAAGACGATTAAAGGACTCGTCTAACTCATCATAACATTAACTAATGTGGATTGTCAATATTTGCTCACAGTCCTAAGTTTACTCACCCTCCCTCTGTTTCATCCAGCAGTTTGCTGGCGATTCTGATGAGCATGCAGTAAGCAAAGGGAGACTTGAGACCAGACTTGGTGAACTTGTTCAGCATCTTGGTGACGGCCAAACGATCGTTCTTCCTGAGGTGGTACAAGAGGCCCAGGGCATGGTACTGGAGAGGAGAAGGTACACGAGAAAATGAGAACTGAGTCAATTTACCTTCAAGAAATATTTTGAGCAAACTGGTGTTTGGTGTTTCTTTGACCCACCTGCACCATGATATTATCACTGGAAGCAGCTTCTTGAGCTTCATTCACCCAACGCTTCACGACGTCATAGCTCATCTTCACCATGTGCTGCACAAATCCACAAACATGATGTAAGTCACAGAAAAAAACGTTGATTTCTGCACACAGTCAAATCTGTGTGTTGTGTCTCACCAGTGAAGACACCAGGGCAGAACTGGACACACTGGGCACTTTGTCAACAATAGCCTGCTTCATGTATCTCTCAATAGCTTGGAGCATGGTGGTCTATAGGGAAAAACATTAAACAAAAAAAAAGCTTATAAAGAGACATGACTGAGCTTTTTATAAAGGTTTTTAAAACATGTTTTGGTATAAGACGTGAAGAGGTGACAGGACAATGAAGGCGTGCTCACATCTGTAATCCTGCACAGAGCTCTGATCGCAGGTCCTCTGTAGACATCTTCCTTGCCAGTCATGTCCTTGGTCAGACTAAAAAAAAAACATCAAATGTTAAATTTATAGTAGATTATTCACAAAAATAATAGATGCATTTTCTATTAGGCTACATAAAATGATAAAACCACTTAAAATAAACTTAAACATTTGGCATAGATCACAAATGGTGACTTTACTAATTTAAACAATTCCTCTAGAGGAATTAATAACTTTAATCAATGTACAGTTATGAATAACTTTAAGACCTACAAGGAGTGTTAATGTGATGTTACAAATTCATAGTGTTATGAAATCAATGATGGATAATACTGACCTGCTGGTAACAATAATGACATCCTCTGAGATGTTGGCCATCTCTTTGATGGTCAGGTAGCACATCCTCCTCAGAGTTTGCTACAAATAAAAGAAAGGAAATATGAGTTCTGCATCATCTTAACCTAAAAATAAAATATTACTTTAAATAAACAAATTCAATATCTTACATCATTGGACTGAAAGAGTCTGGTCATGGCAAAGAAGGCTTCGGTTGCCTCCGTCGTTCCAAAATGTTCCCCCTAAACAAAACCTGTGTTAGTAAACATTGGTATCAACCATATGGATTTACTCTGCACTATGTCTTTGTTACCTGGTTGAGGAGATAGATGATTTTGGTCAGAATGTGTAGACATCGTCTTGGGTTTATGGGGGTCTCGTTGAAAATACGTGACTGTGTAAGAAGGAAAATTAAATTAGATTTCCAGAGTGCGTCAAAAGTTTTATCGGATCGACTATGAAGTTATCAACTAACACTGCCCGGGTGGAAACATTTGAAAGGTGACGTGATAAGGTTCGGTGCACCAGTGCAACCAATGCAAAAACTCCGAGTTAGAATTATAGCTCTATGAGTTTTTATGTCAACAAACAGAATAAGTGTCCGAGAAATAAAACAGGCACAGATCTTACCTCCTGCAGAACTGCACTCTTCTCCAGATTCTGGAAAGGGTTCGACCCACTTCCTACATGTCAAGATAGTTGCTTATTAAACATCTGTTAATTTCCCCTTCGACCAGTTATTCCAACGACATCCAAATAAATTAATGTACATCACTGACATTGTTGTGGCACTGGCTTGATGAGCACAAATCTAAGGTAATTTTGATATTCGAAATGAATAATAAAGCATTAAAGATTACGTCCAGGTGGTGCTAGTTTTAGCAAAACGGCTAGCTGCCGCTAAACGCAGTTGATGATGTTTACACTGTAGATTTTAAGCAGTGCATAATGCTAATTTCGTATAAACCTGAGATAAAATACAAAACTATCATGTAAAAGCTACTGTTAATATATGTTTAAATATTTAATGCTATCAACAATCACTAAGGCTAGCGTGAAAGCTAACTGGCCAACACAGCGCTAGCGCCAAGAGAAAACGTCAACCATGGTTTACCCTAATGGCACTTCTAATAAAGGTTATAAAATGTCGTCTCTTTAGTTACCTGACTCCTCGTCCTTCTTGTCGAATTTCTTAATCATTGTTGCGGCAGTAAAGTGACGGCTGCGGGATACAGAGGCAGTCAGCCTACTTCCACGTCGCCGAGCTGAACGTCCACTTCCGGTTGAAGCGTCGTCCACGTCGACGGAAGACCCGTCATCAACAACCGAAAAGCTTATCGTTTTTCTGCGTGCTGCTCCACCAGAGGTCGCTATTGTTGCGTTCATTTCTCATTACAAATGCCGTCGTCCGTTTTGTTTTCCGCCAGTTGGCATTCTTCATAATTAGGTGTTTTAAATTAAGCCTTCCTTGGGGTGACATTGAAAACAAACGTTAAATAAAAATACATTTGAAAAGTAAAGACACTAGTCTTGCTTCCTGGTGCTCGTCATTGTTCTTGTTCTTTTCCTTCGTCGTCATCATCGAACATGCTACCGGGACTAAATTAAACAACACTTTACATCGTTAGAATGTACACAAAACCATCTAATATCAATATTACATATTATTATTTAAATTAATATAGTAATAACTTTTCAGTTGGGATAATTTATAGTAGACTCAAAATATTTTTTTCAAAACATCTATGGTGAACTTGCACAAGACAGACTATTGAACAACACTGTTATATCTGTATAAGTTGTAAATAAGCCAGCCGGGTTTTTAAAAAAGCACTTGAACACAACTGATTGTTTAGTTGTTACAAATGGAGAATCATATCACCTGAAGTGTATTTGAATTTATTATTTTTATTTATTTTCTGTCTTTTATCCAGCATGAGTGGACAGAGACAATGATTCAGACACAATGAAATCAAAGGAGTGATGGGTGGACGCAAAGGCTCAACAGACATTCTGCACATTCTGTAGATTCAGTTGTATGAAAAGGTTTTTTTCAGGCCTATGGAAAAAGTTGATTAGTGAGCCACACAAATCAAATCTTCAAGTGTAGTTAGGTAAGTTTGCTTTATTTAAGGAAAAATAATCCTTCACTTTAAGTTGTATAAAAAATAACAGACATTTCATGAACACATACATTCCCGTGCATATGCAAATACCCTTTTCCATGATCTTGCTGTTGGTTTAAAGTGTTCAGAACAGAATCTGGAATCCTGCAACGCAACATATGAAGCAACAATGAGTTAGAACCCACTAAATACAAATATAAATACATGAATATAACAAAATATTGTTTGAACTGTCAGGTTTGTGCTCGGTGGCCGTGACTCATTTCTGCCTGGAATCAAAACGTTGTTCCTTTCGCTTTTACTATTTGTCAAATATCAAATAATTCACCAGATAAAAGTTGGTCTTTTTAGATGCAAATTTACATCAACATCAATACAATCACCATGATCATCACAAAATCTGCTCAAAATTGCTTTATTGTTTCTAAACAGAAGTTGGATTCAGGCAAAAAAAAACAAAAAAAAAAAAAACAAACAGATTTAGCCAGTTGTGTGAAAGCAATTCCTCAATGTCAATTGCAGAAATGTCATGTTGAAATGTGTTGTGTTAAAGAAATACAATTAAATGGTTGTCCAGAGACACAGGCTGCTACACTTGTCTGGAAAAAGAAACTTTGTCCAGCGATAAAATGGTTTATTATAACAACAGTAGCCTGGATATGATATGACAGATACCCATAATGCAATGGTTTTAAGTCAAAGTAAAGACTTTAAATATAAACAAATTCAATTAAGGTCATTGTTACGTTCATGAAAACCAAACTATAATACGTAAAAATATTTTTTTTTAAAAACACCCAGAAAAGACAGTGGGTTAAATAAGGACATGAAGACGACTGTGTTCAAACAAGATGTTCAGATCGAGGCAGACGATTTAGTCAATGAACTGTTGAACAAAAGAACGGAGGGAAGTCTTCTATTTGAAAACATATGTGTCCGGTAATTTGACAATTATATTGGATGCGTGGTTTTCATCATTTCCACATCTTTTCCAATGGGGAGTGGGTGTGGGAGGGGGTCCGTTTCGCCCGAGGCTCTAAAATGGTCTAGGACCACCACTGTCTAACATTACGCACAATTAGAAATGGATCAAAGAGAAATGTAACGGAAAACCTCATACACAGTAGTGAAAAGTGAACCATATTGTTGACGTGAAAGTATTTAATCACAGGTTGAACAGTTTCTTCACTTCCTCCGTCCAATCTGCGCCAAGAGACGCGCGTTCTCGGCCGCTTTTGCGCGCAGGTGTTTGGCTTTAGCCACGTCAAAGAGTACGTTCATGATGTTGGTGGGGACATCCAGAGACAGGGTGAGTCTGCTCCTGCGGTCTCCTTTACTGCTGCTGTTACGGAGCATCTGCCCCCTGAGCTTCGTACTGCTCACGAAGCGGTAGTTTGAGGGACCTGAGGTCCGTCTGTCTCGGCTGGACGAAGGGACGGAGGACAAGGAGGCCAGATACTCCGCCGTCTGCAGGAGAGAGCCCCAGCCGTCGACCGTGGAGGAGGACTCGGAGGAGGACTCGGAGGAGGGAGAGGAGTAGGCCGCCTCTTCCTCATCCAGGACCATCTGGTCATCACACAGCAGGTCGGAGCTGCTCCGGTGCTGCAGGCGGAGGCACAGACTGGAGGTCGGTGCGCACAGGAGCGAGAGCAGCAGCAGGGTCTTCAGGGACGACAGCATGCTGTGTCCTGTGTAGGAGGAGACCAGGGGGAGCAAGAGGCATTACTGCATGACAGGGGGAGGTTCAATCCCAACATTAATCATCACAAGTGTTGGAGGAGAGGAGAGAGGAGAGATGGAGATGGACGGGTTGTTTTGGATAATCTACCGGTTCTATATAGTTCCATTACAATTAATTTAAATGAATTACAATGGATTTTCAAAGTCGTGAAAATTCAAATTCATTGTCTCTCCTGCGGGTTAGAAACACGAGAAGCGAGTCTTGTGCGCACGAGACTCGAATCTTCGTCTGTGCGCTCCAAATATTTTCTCAGTACAAGAAATAAGTGTCAAGCTCCCAAGACTCTTCTCTTAGTTTACTGGAAACTTTTTATACATGCGATGACCACATCCCATGGAGCGTGTGTTCCACTAAGTGCTGGACATGAATATTGCGGCGTTAAGCTCCATATCTTAAGGATCGGTGCGTAAAAACAATCCCCTCATTTGAGCAGCAAAACAAAAAAAAAACCTCTCACGTCAATCTTTTCACACGAAACGGATTTCGTGCGCACCAGAACTACACTGCTCTTCATAGTGGATCGTTTGTGCACAGTACTGCTTCAGAATGGTAGTTAAAAAGGCTGAAGTTTTGTTATAAAAAAGTTAAGGAACATCAACATCACATTTAGGATAAGTTCTGAAACTCTGAATAAAATGGACCGGTGCACGGGTTTATCGCAGCTAATTCGACATCATTTTAAAACAAGCGAAGCTAAAAAAAAAAAAGTTAAAAACCTTAACGCTGTTGCAACATTTGTACCGAATATTTTTAAGACTCTTTAGTTCCACAAAGCAAAACGAATGTGATGAAAATGCAGATTGCAGTTCCTTCAACTCACCTCTCGTGTCCTTGACTTGAAATAAGTTGGCCAATCAGCGCGTATCCCCGGTGAAAAACAACAACAACCACCAAAGAGTTCGTTCCTCTTCACCTCCTCTGAAGAGACAGAGAGCGTGCAATGAAAACACTGACCAACTGTTGAATGTGCGTATGTGTGCGCTGAGATCTGGCAACCGCTGTCTTCTTCCATTCCCACTGCGTTCATTTAGTAGGTGCCTTCAAAGTGGGGCTCATACGACAGCAATGACGTCACCCCGCTGACGCGGTAGTTTACGACGGGATATATCCCATTGGCTGGACCGCAGTGATGCAACAGTAAATAAATTCATGAATTAAAAAAAGTTGGTGATGACCGTGATAAGTGATCTGCCACACAGGCCAAGACTGAGAACTGATCTTACTCCGTTATGCAGTTTTACTCCTAAATGTTTACCTTCAGAATTAAAGTTTTTTTTTTTAAATCCTTGACATGATATTTGATATTGTAGTTGGTAAACCCGGGAGGTTAAATTGAACGTATTCGACAACAATAAAATAATAAAGACGTGCTTGGGCAGCAGCCTAAGAGTTGGAGTAATCTGGACAACAACTTTCAGCACCACGGAGAGCTCCGTCATTTGCAACACGTTTCTGTGAAGAGTCTGAGCTGATTTCCTCCCAAATAAACAAACAAACACAGATTTATACCACAGACGTCACAGCGTCATTTGTAGAAGGGCCACTAGAGGTGTATGGTGGTTCCTTCCATTTCTGGATTAAGTTTTGGTGATCCCTAAGAAGGGATGGAGACGGAGACGATGAATGAAATAATAACAGTAGTTCAAACCTTTCATGCAACAGACAGTGATGATATTGATGTCAGTTGATGGAAAAAGTAGAAAACATCTGTCAATCAATACATCCAACACAGTCAGAGAAAAGTGATTTTCTTCTTCTTTGATTGTTGGTATAATTTATACAATTTAGTAAAACTTAAGAACAGCAGTGATGGAGGTGTACGGGCTCACAGAAGAGGGTGGCTCCGTCACGTGTTGCTACGACAATGCTAATTTATAAACAATCAACCCATAACTTTTTATTTCTCTCTCTGTCAGAGAGAGACTTGATGCTCTCCTGATTTTTAAAAAATATATATTTATATGAACTTGTTTATGTTTAAAACTCCACCAAATTCTCAAACTCTGATATGGGAAAGTAGTCCTATGAATTTGTAACATATCGAGGTTGTTAAAAACAAGATACATGTGAAGTAGACTTTGCCTTAAATTGCTTAAA